GAAAGATGAATCGGCATTATGTCACAGTAAGCAAGTACAATTTGGTTAGTCAGAGGGCAAGCGAACAAAAGATGCTCTGGTGTTTCAACATCTAGACAGCATTCACATGTTGGATTAGTTATAACTCTCAAGTCAAAAAGAAAACTTAAAAAGGGTCCTTTGCCTGAACAAAGTAGTGTATTTATCAGGAGTAATAAGCTTGGTACATCTCTCGGGAAAAATTCTTTAACGTTGGATTAGTTTGAGAAAGATAAAATATAAATTTTGTATTGATATATAATTTATTCAATTCATTTGAAAGGGGCTTATTTAGTGTTTGGTCTGTCAGAGAATTCTTCATATTGTATCTAATTAATGATAATTCAAGGTAGTCGGTCAGCATAGGAGTTTTGGCTAGAATATGAGTAACGTAAGAAGATGAACTTTTGTAAGCATGAATGCACCTAATTAAAATTTGGTACTGTATAGAATTTAACTTTGAACGCTTTGCTGCATTGATAAAAGGGAACCAGATATTTGATGCATAGCTTAACATAGGACGTATCACCGCTTTGTATAAAATCAATCTGCGCCTTGAATCAATTCCCCAAGTATGTGCACATAATGAAAATAGCGTATTCTTAAATTTCATAGCCCTGTTAATTATTTTGTCAACGTGTGGTTCAAAATCAATTTTATTTCTTGTGTGTGGTTGCGAAAAATAACTCTCAAAATCTTTATAGTTTCTGATGGCTGAATATTTATACCGTTAATGTTTGCAGGTAATTTTTGGTAATTGTGTAGGTACCTGTTTATTACCTGTTTTATTTGGAATTATTGAAAGATTCAGGACATCGTAGGATGAATTGGAATGGATGAAAGAATATCAGGATAGATGATAGCAGGTAGGGGCCGCCCATAAAAACCCCCTTTCTGAGCGCCGGCTATGTCCTCTGATTCTTTGCCTCGTAGCTGTCTCCAGGTCACTCTCTTGTAGTTTTTTATTTGACGTCATCATTTTGAGTTTGAATACAAATAAGGATGATACAGCTTATATTAATAAAGATATAGCATATCATACAAAAAATGGGAGGTGGAAGAAAATAAGAGCAGTGTACATTCTAATAGGAGAGCCTATGATCTTATAAATTATTGACTCCAACTTAACTAATTAGAAGATATGTGAAATATACTAATACAGTTTAATTATATCACAATTTAAAATATACTATATATATGTAATATTGTTGCAATGTGCCGACGTATGGATGAACTGGCAGTCGTGTACGTGAGGCGAGTGTTGATGATCTCTCACACGCGGACAACAAGAAGCAGAGGCAGGGCTAGATGTTAGCACAAAGAGGGATCGGGGACAGCCCACGGGACAGAGGTAGAGGCCATGACACAAACTTGGATGCTTATCCCCGAGACATGGAGGGAGAGACTGTGTGAGACAGACAGGCTGAAGCAAACTGCCGAGAAAACCCTCTAGAACCATCTGCTGCTGACCCCTTTGCTAAAACCTGTCCTGTTTTCAGGGGTGATCTATAATGAGTTCCTGGGGGCCCCACATGGGCTGGGCGTTGCCATTTTCCTCCTCTCTCCCCAGCTGTCCCCAGCTGACCGCTCTTTGGATTTTTATTTAGACGTCACCATTTTTAGTTTAAATACAAATAAGGGTGTACAGGTTATATTAATAAAGATATAGCATATATACAAAATATGGGGGTGGTAGCAAATAGAAACTATACATTTTAATAGAAGGTAGTATATTTTAAGATATCGGCTCTAACTAATTGGGAGATATGTGGCATATACTAAAAGTGTCATTATTATAGTTTTAAAAGATACGATAGAAAGTGCCCCCGGTGATGAAGGTTTGTTTGGGGGAAATGAAATAAAATGAATGATGACCTAACAAACCTATTTTAAAATCAAAAGAAATAATTTGGGCACAAATGAGTTAAAATTATTATAAATATAGGAGTATAAAATAGGACAATAATATAATGATTACGTTTCAAAAAGATATAGAATATGATGAAAGAAAATACACAAGAATAAATGATAAAATTGAGAAAATATGCAAAATAAAATTAGAAATGCCGTAAAAGTAATTTACTTATAGAAAAAAAATTGAGAACCTATTGAATGAAAAAATAACTAAAAGAAAAGTATATAGCTTTCAAGTTGAACTAAGATTATAAATTGACGCAGAGGGTTGATGAGGGTATATGGGATGTCTGAGTATGTTCCTGCAAAGAAATAACTTAATGAGTTCTGCAATGCAGTACGAACTTGTGTTAGTGATGTACTGTTTTTATTAACAGAACGTTCAAGATATTCAGTCTGCATTATTAGTTCAGACTAGCTAGGAGAGGTATGTAGGTTGAAGAATGTGGAAAGGTAAAGGTAAACACAAGAGATGTACTGCTGCCAATAATGATGGTACCCCGGCTTGTATGATGAAAAAAATGATAAAAATGTTGAAATGATAAAAATTATGAACCGGTTAATAAAAAAAGGAATCTAGCTGGGTATCCTGAACTCACTATTGGGATCGATATAGCGAGGAAGGATGTTTCCAGTTGGATAAAAAAAAATTCTGGCGAGCAAGAATCTCTTAAGGGGAGTATATGAGATTGGGTAATGAAGAAAGGGAAGGTAGCTGCAAGGATTGTTCTGTTGCCAATGATGATTTCACCCGACTTGAATGGTAATAATAATAAAATAAATGATGATGATTGGTAATGATGAGCCGGGTGATAAGAAAAATAATCTAGCTGGGTATCCTGAACTCACTAATGGGAATGATATAGCGAGAAAGGATTTCTCAGTTGGATTAATCAATAAAAAAAATAAATGTTTGGCGTACAGGAAGCCCTTGTGGCAATGCATGAGAAGGTATGGGCAGGGGAGGTTAGAAGACGTCAACGATAAAATTAGAAAAACGAAATAGATAAAATATATAAACAAAAGACCTTAGCAATTAAAAAATATTATAAACGCTGTCAATATATTAAAAGTTTTAAAATGATGAGAAAGATGGTTGAAGTTATGTGTTTAATAAGCTTAGAGATTATGAAAACTACGATTTGAAGAAAAAAAAAGATATAATTAGCTATTGATGGCTGACGGTATTGTTAATGATGGTTAAATGAAACACAAAATAATAATAAAGATTAATATAATTGATTAATGTTAGAATGTTTTATACAGGTCTAAAGTTATATTAATTTAAAAAGTAATGTGCAGGTAAAATAATGAATTTGATGAATTTATAATAATAATAATGCTATTGCTATAAAAATAGGGTATCGATTTAGTAGTAATTTAGTACGGAAAAAACGGAGATAGTGTTACATGAGGAGAGTTATGTAGAGAAAATCCTCCTACCAGATGGATGATGTCTTTGATGGGTCTTGTGGAATGAGCTGCGATGAGACTTTTTGATCACTTTTTGCGGTGGTTGCCATGGGACATCGTCGATGCTGTAAGCGAGGCAATGCGAGGATTTCTCGACGAATCTTGTCTGTCCGTTCAAGCCGATGGAGGAAGATGTTCGTGGCACAGGAGATGTCGATGGGGGCGATGATGACCTGCTCGATGCGAGGTACGGCTAGTCCTCGCATGGCGTCTTTGAGATGGTCCACTGGATCGTCAAGGTGAAGGGCAAGTAGAAGGAGCATCCACACGAATGCGCCGTTGAACACCGGTGCCTCTGTCATCCTCTGCATGCCGCTGTCCTCAGTTATCCTGTCGAGTTTCTGTAATATTGTTGCAATGTGCCGACGTATGGATGAACTGGCATTCGTGTACGTGAGGCGAGTGTTGATGATCTCCCACACGCGGACAACAAGAAGCAGAGGCAGGGCTAGATGTTAGCACAAAGAGGGATCGGGGACAGCCCACGGGACAGAGGTAGAGGCCATGACACAAACTTGGATGCTTATCCCCAAGACATGGAGGGAGAGACTGTGTGGGACAGACAGGCTGAAGCGAACTGCCGAGAAAACCCTCTAGAACCATCTGCTGCTGACCCCTTTGCTAAAACCTGTCCTGTTTTCAGGGGTGATCTATAATGAGTTCCTGGGGGCCCCACATGGGCTGGGCGTTGCCATTTTCCTCCTCTCTCCCCAGCTGTCCCCAGCTGACCGCTCTTTGGATTTTTATTTAGACGTCACCATTTTAGTTTAAATACAAATAAGGGTGTACAGGTTATATTAATAAAGATATAGCATATATACAAAATATGGGGGTGGTAGCAAATAGAAACTATACATTTTAATAGAAGGTAGGATATTTTAAGGCATCAGCTCTAACTAATTGGGAGATATGTGCCATATACTAAAAGTGTCATTATTATACAGTTTTAAAATATACGATATATATTATTATTATAATTCAATGAATAATTTTTGAAAAAACGTTTTTAAAATGAAAACAAATATTTTTTTAAAAATAGTTTTTAATTATTTCAATGGTCCTGTCGACGTATTACTTAACCATATATTCAAGTAATTCTTCTAATTTCATTGATGTCATTGATATGTAGGTATATGAGAGAGTCTCAACTTATATGATCATTGAAGGTTCAAGGTAACAAATGAATATGTGTCATTTTTATATTCTGGCAATGTTCGGGGATATTGACAGTTATTGTATGTTTCATCAGAAAAGAATAGGATTCGCTTATCGTTAGACTTATTTTGTTTGATTGGCAAAGTTAATATTTTCTTCATTTCTAATATGTTTATCTTGGCAAGAAATGGTAACTATTTGGATGAATGAGGTTTTAGGTATTAATATTAAAATTGCGAATATATTCGAATATATTATAAAGGACTGCGGCGAGTGATTATAAACAGTACTTAAAGTTACACCGCATAATTTTCTTTTTTTTTTGTGTGTGAAAAATCAATATTCATTTCAAAGAGAAATATTTGCTATTTCTAACTTTTTTGAATGAAGTATGAGAGGGTGAAAATATGAAAAGTAATGGCGAACGGAAAAATAAAAGTTTCCAGGGGCGGGAATCGAACCCACAACCTTCTGCTTACCGGGCAGGTGCCATGTCCACTAGGCTACCCTAGTGGTATACGAACGGAGGAATACGTCCAGGGTAGCCTAGTGGACATGGCACCTGCCCGGTAAGCAGAAGGTTGTGGGTTCGATTCCCGCCCCTGGACACTTTTATTTTTCCGTTCGCCATTACTCTTCATATTTTCACCCTCTCATACTTCATTCAAAAAAGTTAGAAATAGCAAATATTTCTCTTTGAAATAAAAATTGATTTTTCACAAAAAAAAAGAAACTTATGCGGTGTAACTTTAAGTATTGTTTATAATCACTCGCCGCAGTCCTTTATAATGTATTATTAGTTACTTTAAATATTATTTACATACGGAGGAATACGTCCAGGGTAGCCTAGTGGACATGGCACCTGCCCGGTAAGCAGAAGGTTGTGGGTTCGATTCCCGCCCCTGGACACTTTTATTTTTCCGTTCGCCATTACTCTTCATATTTTCACCCTCTCATACTTCATTCAAAAAAGTTAGAAATAGCAAATATTTCTCTTTGAAATAAATATTGATTTTTCACACACAAAAAAAAAGAAACTTATGCGGTGTAACTTTAAGTATTGTTTATATTCGAATATATTCTTTTGGAATTTTATACAGCTCGACTTTACTGACTCGATCTATTTTCTTCAGTTGAGAAGTTGTTTTGTATATCTCATTTAACACAATTATTTTACTCTTCAAATTGAACGTCTGAATGAATCTAATATATATCTATATGCATTTCTGGATTACTATACCTCTATAGTATTACCAATGAGAAAAATCATTTTAATGTTTTTATATTTCTAGAGATGACAACGCCTTCATACTTTAGCTCTACCAAGCCTGGTAAGTATTGCTATTTTTATATTCGCGTCCCAATTTCTTCATATTTCTATGAAGGGTAATGTTATCAAAGTTTGATAATAGCGGTAGATGGTCTTAAAATTTCCTATTCGTGAAGAAATTATATTATAATGCTTGTGTGTGTCGATAGTTTGAAGTAATATAAAAAGGTCGGGCATTAATTTATTTTGATATTTTGCATTTTAGAATTCATGTGTGTTTCTATAAAAAAAAGTTTAACGAATAGACATTTATATATTTTCATTATATTTTAAATGAATTAACTCTAAGCTCAGCGCGGAGTTGAAACTTTTGAGTCCCAATATATGGATGAGAGTTTCATCAAAGGAATTGTTTCATAAAGCTAAAAATCTATAATATATTCTAATAACTGCTAACAAATAGTTGTCCATTTCAATTCTTAGCCAATAAAATGGCTATGTAAAAATATATGTACTATTATGTATAAACGATTATATATTTTTATTTTGATATACCGGTAAAATATATCACACAGTGGAAAGTAAGGTGATTTGTTCATTTTTCTAAAGACTTCATAATGCATAATACACAGAGCTAAACATTTTTATTTTAAATGACAAAGTGCCATCCATTGTAATAAAAATCAACCAAACGTTGATAACCCAAGAAAAGCTAACCACTTACGAGCTTCGGGCTGCGGTTCCTCTTCAGCATGGTGCAGGCTGTACATTAATGACCAATAATGTTTCACTAGGAAGAAATGCAGATAAAAAATCTATTATACAAATACATTATAATAGAAACACATATTATTAATTTTCAAAGGAATTTTGAGGTGGGAGTCCAGATAAATTAGTACCAAGTATATCTCTGACATAACTAACAGTGTTTATATGCCTGAGAGCCAGTTGCGCGGGTTTCAATGATAATGTTTTTTTGTGAAGATATCACTAAAAAGTTTTTATTGGTGCATTAGCAAAGCATCTTTATATATGTAGGAAAGTATATACAAAACCGGCATCATCATCAGTGCATTATCCTAATGAAATATAAAGGTTATCATACCTCGAATAAAGGGTACTGCCACCGGTATTAGTTTATCAGAAAGGGTATTTATAGTGTCAGGAATGCGGATAAGAATTGACTTAGATTAAGTATCCATAGGCACCCCATACCTTCAATTAAGGTGATCGATCAGTATGATGAGAGAAAGAGATCTCAAATACAAGCTGGCATGGAGCTGCGAAAAGAACATTGATTTGTCTGAAAACAATACCGTCACGCTAGCCCTGCGCCCAGGTTCGTCCTTGAAGCCGCTCCTGTCTGTGATGCAGTGTTAAGGGTAGCCAAGCCATGGTCACCGAGATGAGAGTCCATACTACTACAAACTTAGCCGAACTGTTTCGTGCAGATACTTTATGACTTGAAAACGGTCCCATTTCTAATCAGAACTCTTGATTTGTATGCACTTTTTATCAAGGTCATGCGGGCAATTTGTCGATCTTCGCTACTGTTGGCATAATTGAGCGCTGAGATCAAGAATGGCGTTCCACATAACCGTCCAGAAACAATTGATTTAATATGTATTCTGTAGCCATACGATCTCCAACCGACACGAGCAACAAAACAGAGATTGGATAATCCGTAATCCCGGTAGGCTACAATTCTACCTCTATTATACTCAGAAACGTGTTAGTAAACATGTTTATTTCTCACACGAGGCATAACGGCAACAACCTTTTACAACGAAGCAACGTTCAAATTCAATTTATATATGAGAAACCTGTTGAACAATATATTTTTCAACATATTTTAGGTGTCTCTCGCTCCGGCAACTATTTTGCATATAAGTGTTTGAAATGTGATAATTTGCTTATTGAAACATTTTTTATCGTGTAATTTCCACGTCTCCAACGTTCCACTTTTTGGTGTTGATATTTAATTTACGGTAGTGGAGAAAAATTCATTATTGTTCTAATTAAAATAGTATTAAATTTAGTTTCAATTATCATTTATCAATTTATGAAGAACTTATCTTTATTATGTAAAATACCAGGTCCAACTTTTAAATGCTAATTTAAGATCAATCTAATTTTACTATTTGTGTTTCAGATATTGATATAGGTAAAGTAATATTTTGAATCATATTTTTTAACGCACAACGCAATTCTGAAAAATCGAAACTATCTATTAAAGAAATAGTTATCTATAGAATTATGGTGTTAGTATTTTATGGTTGAGAGATGTGGGTTAATGGCATGTTTTATCATCTCAAAATACTTCAACTTTATCAACAATTAGTTGAATTAATGAATCAGAGGATAAAATACTCTAGAGTATTTTATCCTTGCCACGCATGTAATTGGGAAGATTTTACCGTTTAGAAATTTCATTCTTTGCAAACAATTTTAAAATAGTTGTTTTTAAATAGTATATTTGTCATTCAACCTCAGTTTAATTTGCTTTTTATTCATGACAAATATGATATTTTTTGTGATAATATATTTTAATTTTAATTAATTAATTGTTCCCATAGATTGCATGTGTATGATTACAAGGAAATAGGCGCTAACCCTAAGGTAAATAAGTTTATCTTTGTTTATTGTTGTTATAAGCTTCTCATTTGTTTAGTTTTTTCTTTTAAATCAATAAAGATAATGTTTATTCAATTTTTCTTGGAATCAGTATCTTTAAAACGTCTAAGCAAAATCATCAATTGGTAGCAGTGAGTCCTGTGGTTTGATATAAAGCTCAAAAGCGAAAATATTTAATCAGAAGATTAAGCGAGAAGTTTATTCTAATCGGTAAACTGAAGCGCTTCTGAGAAGAACGATTTAAAGTGTTTATATAGATTAAATTGAATTATATTTATATATCTCATGATTTAAATGCTACCTAATATTATATAAATGTTAAGGGTGTGTGCGTATAAATGTATTTAAGTTATATTGGTTTGAAAACTAAAATGCCTGATTATAATTGTTATCCCAAACGAAAATTGAACCATTAAAAGGAACCAATTATCAAGTTTGGGCGTTGAAATTCGGCGCAATTTTGAGAGGGTAAAATTATTTAAATGTCTAATTTACGATCCAGAACCTGATATGGAAGACAAAGGCTCTTGGTAGATTTGGAGTGAGAAAAAAAGATGAAGCCTTTATAATAATTATCACGACGTTAACAAATGAACATGCCGGAAAGTTTGTTTGGAGAAACAAATGCGAAGATTTTCAGTGGGACTTACTGAGAAAAGCATTCACAGGCAATTTAGGAAATAAAATTATTGAAATAGGCTTAGAATTTAAAAGCATTAGAACGAAAGATAATGGAACTGTGAGAGAATAAATATTAAGGGTAAAAAATATTGCTGCGAATGTTTGTCATTAGGGCGTCAATTTACCTAAAGAGGATTTTCGTTTCATATTGTAAAAGCATACATACAAAGTGTAAATAAAATTGTTTTTGCCTTACGATCTGAGAGATGCTACAATTGAAGCGATTAAACAAACGCTAAGAGAATGTGAGTCAAGAAAATATATTAGATTAAATCAATCGGTTAAGAACTGGCATGAACAATCACACAGAATTAATGATAGAAAGGTTAATCAATTTAAAAAAAAATGTCTTATTTGTAAAATAAAAAGAACATCTAGCTAAGGATTTCTGGTTTCGAGATAAGCAGAAACAAGGATATAAAAATGTACCCAATATTTTAGAAATCATAAATACAGTAGGGAACATTCTAATAACCTAATGGATACAGTAAAAAAGCGAAATTAATGAGCAAGTATTTGAAACCTATGTAAAACAATTGGAACGTTCACCAGATGAGAGAAATGAAAGGCAAATATAGTGTTTAGATTCAGGATGCACCGCACATTTAACGCCAAACCGAACTTGGATAGAAAATGTAATAGATTACGAAAGTGAAATCAATATATATAAGAATGGCATATTCTACACAAGCAATTACTAGGAGATATTAGACTTACTACATGCACGAGTGAAGGCCAAGAAAATATTCGCTTCAAAGATATCTTACATGAACCAAATTTAAGAAATGATTTCTTGTCATTATACATATTAATCAACATAGAGAAATTCAGTTATTTTTAATTAGAATGTATCAAAAATCTATAATGAAAGGAAAAACGAGCTTCTGAGGCAAACATTAGAGATATATATTTTATGATGGAAACAAAA